CGGTCCCACCGAGATTGGAAAACTGTGTGTAACAGTTGGATTTTGTGTGGAGGCTATATATACCCCTCCACCTCCTCTTCATTTGGAGAGAGAGCCATCAGAACACATACACCATTCCAACTCGTATGTTTTGAGAGAGAACCACCTACTCATGTGTTGAGACCAAGATATTCCATTCCTACCATATGAATCTTGATCTCTAGCCTTCCCAAGTTGCTTTCCACTCAAATCTTCTTTCCACCAAATCCAAATCCTATGAGAGAGAGTTGAGTGTTGGGGAGACTATCATTTGAAGCACAAGAGCAAGGAGTTCATTACCTACACACCATTTGTTACTTCTTGGAGAGTGGTGTCTCCTAGATTGGCTAGGTGTCACTTGGGAGCCTCCGACAAGATTGTGGAATTGAACCAAGGAGTTTGTAAGGGCAAGGAGATCGCCTACTTCGTGAAGATCTACCGCTAGTGAGGCAAGTCCTGTGTGGGCGATGGCCATGGTGGGATAGAAAAGGTTGCTTCTTCGTGGACCCTTTGTGGGTGGTTGCTTCTTCGTGGACCCTTCGTGGGTGGAGCCCTGTGTGGGCTCGTGCAACCATTACCCTTGGTGGGTGGAGCCCTGTGTGGACTCTCGCAACCGTTACCCTTTGTGGGTTGAAGTCTCCATCAACGTGGATGTAGGATAGCACCACCTATCCGAACCACGGGAAAAACATCCGTGTCTCATATTGCGTTTGAATTCTCCAAACCCTTCCCTTTACATTCTTACAAGTTGCATGCTTTACTTTCCGCTGCCAATATACTCTTTGCATGCTTGCTTGAATTATGTGATGATTGCTTGACTTGTCCTAAAATAGCTAAAATCTGCCAAGAACTAAAATTGGGAAAAGGTTAAGCTTTTATTTGGTCAAGTAGTCTAATCACCCCCCTCTAGACATACTTTCGATCCTACATCATCCCCGAAGCTTTGCTGGATCGGAGCCCGGGGAGCGTCATCGAGCTGTACGTGTGCTAAGAACTCGGAGGTCCCGGAGTAACGGTGCTTGGATCGGTCGGATCGGGAAGAAGACGTACGACTACTTCCTCTACGTTGTGTCAACGCTTCCGTTGCGATCTACAAGGGTACGTAGATCATACTCTCCCCTCTCGTTGCTATGCATCACCATGATCTTGCGTGTGCGTAGGAATTTTTTTTGAAATTACTACGTTCCCCAACATCTGGAGAGGGTAATCCGTCGCCATCGTCATCATCAACCATCCTCCATCACCAATTTCATGATGCTCATCGCCGTGCATGAGTAATTCCATCGCAGGCTTGCTGGACGGTGATGGTTTGGATGAGATTTATCATGTAATCGAGTTAGTTTTGTTAGGGTTTGATCCCTAGTATCCATTATGTTCTGAGATTGATGTTGCTATGACTTTGCTATGCTTAATGCTTGTCACTAGGGCCCGAGTGCCATGATTTCAGATCTAAACCTATTATGTTTTCATGAATATATGTGAGTTCTTGATCCTATCTTGCAAGTCTATAGTCACCTACTATGTGTTATGATCCGGCAACCCCGAAGTGACAATAATCGGGACCACTCCCAGTGATGACCATAGTTTGAGGAGTTCATGTATTCACTATGTGTTAATGCTTTGGTCCGGTTTCCATTAGACCCCACTGCCACGGGAGGGTAGGACAAAAGATGTCATGCAAGTTCTTTTCCATAAGAACGTATGACTATATTCGGAATACATGCCTACATTACATTGATGAATTGGAGCTAGTTCTGTGTCACCCTATGTTATGACTGTTACATGATGAACCGCATCCGGCATAATTCTCCATTACCGATCCAATGCCTACGAGCTTTTCACATACTGTTCTTCGCTTATTTACTTTTCCGTTGCTACTGTTACAATCACTACAAAACCCAAAAATATTACTTTTGCTACCGTTACCGTTACTTCCATACTACTTTGCTACTAAATACTTTGCTGCAGATATTAAGTTATCCAGGTGTGGTTGAATTGACAACTCAACTGCTAATACTTGAGAATATTCTCTGGCTCCCCTTGTGTCGAATCAATAAATTTGGGTTGAATACTCTACCCTCGAAAATTGTTGTGATCCCCTATACTTGTGGGTTATCAATGTGCATTACCGATAGGGCCCAGAGATACCTCTCCGGCAACCGGAGTGACAAATCCTAATCTCGATCTATACCAACTCAACAAACACCATCGGAGACACCTATGGAGCACCTTTATAATCACCCAGTTACGTTGTGACGTTTGGTAGCACACAAAGTGTTCCTCCGGTATTCTGGGGTTGCATAATCTCATAGTCATAGGAACATGTATAAGTCATGAAGAAAGCAATAGCAACATACTAAACGATCAAGTGCCAAGTTAACGGATGGATCCCGTTCATCAAATGACAACACATGTCTATGGCTAGGAAACTTAACCATCTTTGATTAACGAGCTAGTCAAGTAGAGGCATACTAGGGACACTCTGTTTGTCTATGTATTCACACATGTACTAAGTTTCCGGTTAATACAATTCTAGCATGAAAAATAAACATTTATCATGATATAAGGAAATATAAATAACAACTTTATTATTGCCTCTAGGGCATATTTACTTCAGGATCATGGTTCTGGTCTCTCTGTTTCCCTTTGTGACATATGAAGACATAGTGTTGAAGTAGTCAACCAGGGGAGGTGGCGCCGTGTGGTACGAAACGGGCATGCTCGTACCAAACGCCGTCTGGCGGGGTTGAATCCAGCAGATCTCGGGTAGGGGCTCCCAAATGGGTGATCTTGGCTTAATGGTAACAAGACAAAGAGGGACACTATGTTTACCCAGGTTCAAGCCCTCTCGAAGAGGCAAAACCCTATGTCTTGCTTCTGTTTTATTGATTGTGGATGGGGTACAAAGTACATGATGATCTAACTCTAGATCGTATGTTAATGAATCTAACCCTACGGTCTAAAACTCTTGGCTTAATTATATGGCACCGGGGGTACCTAGGGTTTCATGTAGGTCGGTTACATGAAGGGATAAACATGCTGGTGATTCAAATGTGTCTTGGAGTGTGTGCAAAGTCTTTGTAGGATTCCATCTGGTGTACGCCATTGGGAATGACAAACATGGCCCACTTGTTAATTGTCTGGGGGTCCTCGGCCCAGCCCATGATTGGGGGACCGATGTGGATAGCACCCCTAATCTAGGACACCATCATTGTCTTCGCCTCCGGACTAATCTGTGCGGCTGGTCGTTATCCCACTTGATCACTTCATAAGGTAGGTTATTACCATGTCAATCAACATAATTGTCACCCATAATTGGGTGTTTCCCAACTAGTGCTCCAAAATCTTCTCTCCTATAGAATACTGGTTAAATTGGGCAAAACGAATGAGCGAACATAGTAAAATTCTGGAAATCCTATAACTACAATGCAAAACAATGAGTGAAAAGTGACACGAAAAGCGAACATAGTTGTTAAGATGGTACGTGTTTTTTATTTTTTGCTGGAATCAGTGACACGAAAAGCTGTAACCAGAGAGTCGATTTGCTGGGACCGGCATCAGGCAGTGGCAAGCTGCGACGGTGGAGAGCGGCTGGTAGGTGAGGGAGGTGCTCCACACTGGAGACGTCGCTGGGATCAAGGGGGAGAGGATTGAGGGGTGGGCAATGGCGTCGAGCGAAGACGAACCAGCTTCAGTTCAATCTGAAGCGTTCACGGAGGGCAAGATCGGACGCTCGCGCGGTGACCGGCGCCTACCAGTACGAAACCGACCGTCAATCTGCCAACAGACTGACACAGTCCGGAAACTAACACAGACCACAACGAGGCCTTAAATAGGACGGCGTTGGCGTCGACTGAGAGTCTGAGATACACCCCCCAAAAAGATACTCGACCAATAAAAGACAGAGTCGGCGGCGCGATTGCAAAGGGGATCGGCGATCAGAACAAGAAGATGAGTGCGGGTGTGGAGAAGCCAAACAACAAAAGGGCCACGGCGGCCGATCCGACCAGCCGAGGCGATGCCGACGCCAAGAGGACGAAAAGGAATCTGGGGAGCGACGGGGAAGATACTCTGTCGCCTGGTTCCGTCGACCATGCGTACGCCCTTGTCTTTGCCAAGATTGCACAAGACGAAATAGACCAAGAGTCGGGTATATATATGATTGCGCCATCCCGTAGCCACTATCCAAGTTTTCAACCGAGAATTCCTAAATAATTATACAAATTGTCTTCCTCTCCTCGTGTATGATCTGATCGATATCTGTTAATGTTCCTGCCGCCTGTAGCTCCCAGCCCAGTGCAAATTCCTACAATCGCTTACTTCAAACCTCCGACCTTGTTTCACACTGATGAGCTCTTTTCTATCCGTCGATCTGGAACAAAGGCCGTGCTCTCGGCAGCCAAATTTCTTCTAGGGGTTTCATCCTCTCTCGGTACGTGCATATGTGGTCTTGTACTACGTACCCTCCATGTTTCGGATTGTTCGTCACGCAGCTTGATCGTATATCTTGTGCTTGAATCACACAGATGGTGAACCACTAAGACGGTGCTCTGGCTTCTAGATTGATTGGGATGAGGAGAGCAAAACCGGCCTTGTTCTCACAACCGCGTGGCTGATTCGCACAAAGGATGCTCCTGTCAGTGTCTGGTCAGGCGGTGAAGAGTATGCTACAAACGCTGATGTGAGTCAATGTGTTTCTTCTATTAATGTATTTCTTTTCAAACTGGTTCCGTCGTAAATAAATAAATTAATCTCCGGTGTAAATCTAACTAGTTGCAATTCACATGTTTTTTTCTTGCTATTGGCCTTTTCAAATAACAAAATGGAAACAAAACATGTGTTTGCTTACTATTCAAAAATCCTATATAATCAGTCTCACAACTTTTTCTTAGGTCACTGTTCATTTGCTAAGTGGCACCAGTGCAAAGGGCCAGCTGGTCTATCACCAGCCCCACTATGATCTCGCTTTCCTGAATGTTCAGATGGATCAACCAATCAAGTTACCATCTTTTAATGAAAAAGATGTAGAATTTGCTCAAAAGATTTTTCGACTTGGAAGAGACAATGCCTTAAATCTAAGGATAACATATGCTAGAGCAGAATATCTGAATCCAACCATGTATGAACGGTACCACAATATATATTTCCGTTCTCCAGATGGCCATGGCGATGATAATGAGGTAATATATCTTATCATGAGATAGTATTGTATAGATTTGTTACAATTTTGAGTTTTGTTTCATGACAACTTTGTGTTCTATATTGATATCTATTGTTATAAGATTTTCCTTGTTCTTGCAAACTCTCATATGTTGCCAATATGAATTGTTGCAGTATGACAATGGGGGGCCAGTTATTGACTTGGGTGGAAAAGTGGTCGGAATGGTCAATGACCCTGAGAGATTTGAGTCTTTTATACCTTCTTCCATTGTGCTCAGTTGTTTGGATTCATGGAGGAAATATCGGTACGTTTTTCCTCTCAGTTCTGTAATGGTATCAATGAAAATGTGTTCTCCCCTATTGTTTCTTTTTTACTTATTGTTAGAAGTCGAACTATTTCTCGTAGTATCTGTTTTATCATTTTTATGCAATCTAATGACCATAAGTTATGTATAGATTCTACAACAAGGTGATCATTGTTGTGTTTTATTATGTATATATACAGAGAGATATGTTAGTGGCTGCAATATATAACTTTACAACAATAATCATTTATAAGCAAATCAAGAACTGGGTCTAGACAAAAACAAACATCTAGAACCACGCTGAGATGCTGAGAGTACAAATGGATTATGATGACAACTAGTTATAAGAAGGGTTCTGCTTTGATGTCCTTAGCCAAGTTCTAGAGTAAAGTTTAATGGAAAAAAAATATGTTTTAGGCTTTTCTCTCAATTTTGATGGACAATTTTCCTGAAGCCATCTTTTTTCAAGGAGAGTTTCAAGTTAAACCTATGAGATATTCATGAACAAATGTATTCTCAGCCGTTCTCAGTCATATTGAAATATGATGTACTCCCTCCGTCCCATAATATAAGAGCGTTTTTGACATTGTGTCAAAAACGCTCTTATATTATGGGACGGGGGGAGTAATTCTTTTACATAATATCATGAAAGTCCCTCTTTAGCATTTGTCAACTACTATGAATGACTCATCCCCTTTGGGCCTTTCTAAAGTCTATTTGAATCAATTAATTGGTTATTGTTGTGTTTTTTGACATGTTAAGATAGAAGCTCGATTCCACCAAAGATTGCTTACTCTGAAAGTGTTATACTTGCGCCTTGTATACCTTTCTTGAAATATATTAAATGATTATCTGATTTGATGTAGGCATTTCGCCCGGCCCCATCTTGGAATGACGTTTAAGGCCATCGAACTTCTAGAACCTTCTCATGTTGACATGTTATGGCGTATGTATAACATTGATGACGGTCTTGTTGTTCAAGAGGTAGGGTAATTATTTCCTCGAGGTGCTCTATTTCTCATGCATGTAGTGGTTAATTATTTGGCAATTGAAACCTAGGTGTCAAAAGGATCTAATGCTGAGATACTCGGAATCCAAAAAGGTGATGTTATTGAATCTATCAATGGAAAACGTGTTTCTACAACAATTGAGGTGGGTGTATTAATGAGGTGAAAATAAATTATATTTTTGTGATAGTTGTTGGCTTCACGGTCTTGACTGCAATGTTTTTTCTCTGCAATTATCAGTTCGAAAATATGCTTATGAGCACATGCAAGGTCCCTTCAGGTGTTGAAGTTCATATTTTTGTAAGTACATTTCTATATCATAACAGCGGTTTGCTTGATCCCTGCCATCCATTTCTTTGTACTGATGTATTATTAGCAAAATGCTAGCACTAAGAGATTTGCTTCGCTAACTCCATAGGTTGGGCTGTTTCACACACTCAAAAAAGAACGAAGCACCATAGAGTTGACTGCAAATTTATCCGAACTTGGAGAAGTCATTACAAGCTAGGTACACATCTCCTCTTTTAATTAGCCCCACCCACAAATTATTATTTCAATTCTCTAGTATTATATTCCATTTTTTGCAGATAATTATTATCCAGATACAGTGCTAGCACTAAGTATGTAAGCTTATGTGCGTTGTGCAATACACTCTTACGTGAAACCTATGTGATGTTTAAAATATCATACCACACCATAAAATATGCTGATATTTTGGAAGTTTATGGTTTTCGTAAATAGGTGGTGTGTAGCAGGTTGTAGACTTGGAAGTTTTCGGGTTTTTTGGAACAAGAGATGCATGTCTGTGCTTGTAGGTTTGTTGATGGGCGCTAACTTTGAGTTGTGTGACATTTTGCAAAGAATACAGATTAAATATTGCTTGCATGTTCACTCTCTGTTTTCTTTTTGGATGGGAATACAAAACATTCGCCTTGAGAGAGGTGGTTTGCATGCCAAAGAGGGATTGTTTATTTGACACTCATTCTGTGTTATAATTCGTCACAGGTCCTACAGGCTGCCAGATTGAGGACGGATGTTTCTATAGTGCGGTATACTATGATGGATACTTACCTGTGACCATATGTAGTATGCTAGATATATCTTTCTCTAATAATAAAGCACGGATTGACTCCGTTGGTTCACCGTCACAATACGCTTCTTCCCGTGATTTTACGCTTTCAGTTTGAATTTAAAACATATTCGAGGTGGTACTAAATTTCTGTCTCGGTAATTCAATCATAGTTGTTTTCTTTATTTTGCGTTCTAAAGATTGGCCCGTCGATTGTGTACATAAATACATAATTGGGCTGGGCTTTCCTTCCCGCAAAAAAAAGTGCAATGTGTGGCCGCATTACACCCGGTCTCTTTCATCTTCTTGCATTGATCTCTTTCTTCCTCGACAGCTGCTCTGCAGCAGACATGGACCTCCTTCCTCTTCTTTGATCTCACCAGATCTCCTTCTTCAAGGGCACAATTCCTTCTCTTCAACACGTACCAGATCGAGGAAAAGAAACTATTCGATTTGTTATTAGATCGAGAGGGAGAGGTCACGGGGACCAAGCACAAAGTCGTCAATGCCGTTGCTCCTCACCTCACTGATCCCCTTCGTTACGCCGCCGCTGGTCCTCACGTTGCCGCTTGATCGGCATCGAGGTTGTTGGCCAAATCGATAGAAAAATCAGATTGGGATAGAGAGGTCACGAACTCACGGGTACCAGGCATGAAGTCTAGAAAAATCAGATCAACATCGAGAGGGAAGTGGCGAAGGGCGAAAGACTCGCAGGCATCGATGACTCCTCCACCGGAATCGCCGCCTGGTTCTCCAACGACACGCTTCATATGCATACACACTCATGTCATTGTCCTGCCGATGACCCCTGTGCTGAAGGAGACAAGGAGAACGACTTTCGGTTGGGATCGGGACAACTCCTCCTAAAAATCAGCTGCAAGTTCTCCTCTCTTCCATGGACGGGGAGTCGGGGACATGGTGCCCTGAGGCTTGGCTTGGTTCGATGGAGCAAGAAGAATTTGATGGGAGGAAATCATTGACATGCTGTAGTGGGTCTTGGAGTCGTTGCAAAGGAACCAGCCTCGAGGCTATTGGACGGGAGTCGACGGGCAGGGGATGGAGCGCGTCATGGCTGTTGGGCTCTGGTGCAGGCACCGCGAGCGCATCCCGAGTACATCCATCAGTCAAGGTGTCCACCCACTATACAGTTCAAGATGTCGCTGCCAAGCCTGCCGACGAGAATATACCAGTCGCAACTTACATATTGTTACCATCGCTTGGTGATTCTTTTGCTACTTCGAGGGCCACCAGCAGCACCGGCTGCGAACTTTGCATTGCTGGTATGTGTTTGTGGAACTGTTTCGCAAATCATGTCAACGAGACTAGCAAATTGAAGAAACATGGTCTGAAGATATTAGCATATATTGTAATGTAGATTCTCTAAGTGAACATATCAGAATAGCAGGTTCCCAGATCTTAAATAAATTGTAGCATTTAATTGTTGATAATGTACTATAACCTCATTTGCATCTGCCTAGCCTTTCATCGAGCAGCATTTTGGTAAGCACATCTTGGGCCCAGGTAAACAAAGAAGAGTTGAGCTTTCACTCTCTGGTTGGCTAAAGATATCTACAGTTTAACCCTGCCGTGGTGTAAGGAAAGCCATGACCTCAATTTTCAACCAAGGAATCCAAGGATAAGCAGAAATATGCTATGCTTGCAACTCAGTTTGTATCTTCTCCAACAAATATTGCCCTGGTACTGACAGGTTGTTACTACATATCTTGGTGTGGATTTCACCAGCGGTTCAACTTTTCAATCCAGCATATATTCTGGTCGGTTTTTTTCCTCCTGCTTAATTACCTGGCGATTAAAATTAAAAGAAAAGGACAATACTTTAAGACCTACCTAAGGATTCTCAAGGTATATGTTTTACATGATCGTATCGAATCACAAGAATACTTATGCCCCTGTTGTCGTCATCGTCAAACTGGGCGCTCCACGCGCTGATGCTGCTCGCTTCGGCTATGGATTACCTGAAGCTTCTGAACAATTTTCAGTTATTTCTCTCTTATATATTTTCAATTTCAGCACTAATTCATTGCCTAAAGCTTGCAGAGTATTATCTAAGTACTTGCTATTTATTATTGCCTGAAGGTTCTGAACAATTTAGTTATTTCTCTGGTAATGGAAAATTATTATATATTTTCTTGTGCTTTCTTTACTGCAGAGACCACTAAGTATTCACCCGAGCCAATATATAGTGTTACATATGTACACAGGTTCACTGGACCCTTGATAGTCACGGTTGACAGAGATCAAACATTTTATGGATAACTAGGGAGGAGAAAAATGTTGTACTGTAGTTTAATTGCCACAGGTTCGCACATATACAAGTTCACTTACACTCAAATATCCTCTAGATTTCTCTGCAAATTCATAAATGATTTGCTTTCATTTATTTCTGTCAGGTTGAATGCGAGGAGCTTGCTTTATTGATAATTTGATGTTTGTGTGTTTACATTGCAATGGAGGCCATGATAGGCATGTCATATATTCAGGTATGTGTATTGAAAACTATTTTTGTAGTAGGTTTATATGGATGAATACGAGCAATGTTATACAAAATCAAATGTTCTCATGTATCATTTTGGTTGTTATGCATGCATATTGTAGAGTAAGGCAGACCCTATTTTTAACAATTCATACCCGAGAGCTGATGTGTTAGTTACTGCTATGGTATTTAAATTTTTTAAATTTAAAGGATGATATCTAGCGGAGGAAGGACAAGACCTTGCAGCTGGAGGATATTGTCAGGCCATGACCCATATACCTTGGCATTAGTTGTCGATAGTGAAGTTTGGTATGCAGCTGGAGATGACATGATTTTTTTCTTTATTCCCTAATAATAAAGCACGGATTGACTCCGTGGGTTCATCGTCACAATACGCTTCTTCCCGTGATTTTACGCTTTCGGTTTGAATTTAGAACATATTCGAGGTGGTACTAAATTTCTGTCTCGGTAATTCAATCATAGTTGTTTTCTTTATTTTGCGTTCTAAAGATTGGCCCGTTGATTGTGTACATAAATACATAATTGGGCTGGGCTTTCCTTCCCTCAAAAAAAAGCGCAATGTGTGGCCGCATTACACCCGGTCTCTTTCGTCTTCTTGCATTGATCTCTTTCTTCCTCGACAGGAGCTCTGCAGCAGACTTGGACCTCCTTCCTCTTCTTTGATCTCACCCGATCTCCTTCTTCAAGGGCACAATTCCTTCTCTTCAACACGTACCAGATTGAGGAAAAGAAACTATTCGATTTGTTATTAGATCGAGAGGGAGAGGTCACAGGGACCAAGCACAAAGTCGTCAATGCCGTTGCTCCTCACCTCACTGATCCCCTTCGTTACGCCGCCGCTGGTCCTCACGTTGCCGCTTGATCGGCATCGAGGTTGTTGGCCAAATCGACAGAAAAATCAGATCGGGATAGAGAGGTCACGAACTCACGGGTACCAAGCATGAAATGTTTTAAATAGCAGGCTATGGAAAATAGCGGCGGGCCTTCAAATAGGCTATAGCGGAGCTATAGCGGGCTATTTATGAAGGCGAGCATTTAGCGGCACCCTGCTGAAAAGGCTATAGCGGGCTATAGCGGAGCTATAGCCGGCTATTTAAAACTATGGAAAAATCAGATCAAGATCGAGAGGGAAGTGGCGAAGGGCGAAAGACTCGCAGGCATCGATGACTCCTCCACCGGAATCGCTGCCTGGTTCTCCAACGACACACTTCATATGCGTACATACTCATGTCATTGTCCTGCCGACGACCCCTGTGCTGAAGGAGACAAGGAGAACGACTTCCGGTCGGGATCGGGACGACTCCTCCGCGAGATCAGCTGCAAGTTCTCCTCTCTTCCATGGACGGGGAGTCGGGGACATGGTGCCCTGAGGCTTGGCTAGGTTCGATGGAGCAAGAAGAATCTGATGGGAGGAAATCATTGACATGCTGTAGTGGGTCTTGGAGTCGTTGCAAAGGAACCAGCCTCGAGGCTATTGGACGGGAGTCGACGGGCAGAGGATGGAGCGTGTCATGGCTGTTGGGCTCTGGTGCGGGCATCGCGAGCGCATCCTGAGTCCATCCATCAGTCAAGGTGTCCACCC